TCTGTGGCTTCCCTTTTTACTCTATTGGAGAAGTTTTTGGATGTGCATAGGGATTTGATTCTTAGAAGGTCCCATTCATCTATTTTATCTTCTCCTGGTTGTAGATTTTCCAGGATACTTGGAAGACTTTTTATGTTGTGGACTACTGTACTTCTACTGTTCATCAATGCCAACTCGTAAGAGTAGTACTGTCCCATAAGCTTTCCTTGGGTAGGTTAATCTATTAACCAATTACCAAGAACAGCTGGCATGATTAACCATCACACTACCAGGGGAGCTCTGATGGCCTAGTGGGTAAGGAGCTGTGCTGACAACTCAAACACACATGGTTCAAATCCACCAGCTGCCCTGAGGCAGAAAGCCAGGTAATCTCCTCCTGTCAAGGTAGAACTGGCTCCTAGCTGACTTTCCAGTGGGTTTACAGAAGTAGGAAATCATATGGGACAAGACTGCTCATCTTTCTCCTGTGGAGCAACTGGTGGATTCAAACCCTGTGCCTCTGGGTTGGCAGAATGACTTCTTAACACTAAGCCAGGAGAGCTCCCTTGAGTATGGGCCATTAGTGGATAATTACAACCCATCCAGACAGAAGCAAGCAGAGCTTCATATAAAATCAACCCCTGCCATCACACTGCCTCAAACAAGGAGATTATCAAGTCTTTCCAGGTACTAGATTTAAAGCTTATGTTTTGCGATCTTATCACACAACCTCTCTTTATTTCATATGTGTGTGTTAAAAAAATATATAAAACGTAGGGAGCTCTGGTGGCCTAGTGGCAAGAAGCTGCACTGCAATCCCAGAAGTGCACAGTTGAGTCCACCAGATGTTCTGCTGGAGAAGGAGGGACAATCTCCTGTATCAGTCAGATCTGGTTTGATGGTACACACAAAAAAAAGTAATAAAGACATTACTGTTAAAAAAATACTAAAACCTGTTGTAAACCACACTACTCATATTCCTCCTCACAAGCAGAACTGAAGACAATGAAACACTCCCATCTTCTCCTAGCAGGACCCTGAAGAGGGGTGGGCTCTCTGCAAAGCGCATTTTCACATTCATAGTCCATATTTTATCACCTAGCTGAACCCAACTTCCCTAGCAGCTTGTTAAACACATCCAAGTCCCACAGAAAATCTGAGGATGGGATATAGGCATCCGTCTTTATAACAAAGAGAGGAAGAGATGGTAATGTACATCTGTGTATGGAGCCCACAAAGTGAAAATGTTTTACCCAAAGTCACTTAGGAAATCAATAGCAGGTAGATTAATATTCACATCTTATTAGGCTCTAGTTTTCAGATTTCTCTTCTGACTTGCATTTTCGTCTTTTGTCACCTGCCTTTGTAATGGCATTTTCCTTTCTTCGTGGATGGGTCTCCTGGATGTCATCCCACAGCTTATCTGGTCTTTGATAATTAGTGTTCAATGCATTGAATCCACTCTTGAAATGGCTTTTAAATTCAGGTGGGATACACTCAAGGTTGTATTTTGGTTCTTGTGAACTTTCATTTTCTTCAACTTCAACTTGGACCCAACTTGAACCTGCACATGAGTAACTAATCTGTTCTGTAGTCAGCCGCTGGTCTTGTTTTTGTTTTTTTTTTTTTTAATAATTTTAATGAGCATTTACAGAGATTTTGGATTTCCATTCATTCATTGCGCTGGTCTTGTTTTGACTGCTGATAAGGAGCGTCTCCTTTGACTCTTTCGACAGATGTAGTGGTAGTGCTTGCCATCAAGTCGGAACCCACTCAACAGCTGAAAATCCACTGGATTTGCAGAGGCTAAACTGCATGAGAGGAGACTGCCTTTCTCCAGTGAAGCAGATGGTAGGTTCAAACTGCATGCTTTAGGGATTGTAGCACAGGTAACCATTATGCCACTTGTTATTGTTGTTATGCGCTGTAGAGTCACCTGTGACTTATAGTGACCCTATGTACAGCAGCTCTGAACTGTGCCTTGTCCAGAGCCAGTCTCACTGATTCCGACACATGAATCCCCATTACTCGTTACTGTATCAATCCATCTCACCCAGGGTCTTCTTCTCCTGCACTGTCCCTCCACCCTTCCAAGCATGATGTCCTTCTCAAAGGACTGGTCCCTCCTCGCTACGTGCCCAAAGTATGTGAGACAGAGCTTCAAAATCCTAGCTTCCAAGGAGAACTTGGTTTCACCCTCTCCAAGACAAACCTGTTTGCTTTCTTAGCAGCCTATGGTTTGTTCAAGACTCTTCTCCAGCACCGTAATTCAAAGGCATTGATTCTTCTTCTGTAACCCTTAGTAATGGCCAGCTCTCTGATGCATAGCAATTAATTGTGAAGACCATGGCCTGGATTAGGGGCACCTTAGTCTCTAGACTGACATCATTGCTTCTCTGTACTCTGGGGAGGTGCCTGACAGCAGATTTTCCCAGGGAAATTTGTCTTCTGATTTCCTGTCTGCTGGTGCTAAGAGTGTCAATTGTTGAGCTGAGCAAGCTCTAATTGTTAACAATCTCAATCTCTTCTCCATCTATCATGGTGCTGCCAACTGGCCCAGTGGTGAAAATCTTTGGTCTTCTTGATGTTGAGAATCAATCTATACTGAAGGCTGCAGTCCTTGACCTTCTTTAGTAAGCGCTTCAGGCCTCTTCAGTTTCAGCAAGCAAGTTTGTATCATCTGCATAATGCAGGTTGTTGATGAATCTACCTCATCAACAAGTAAAATGTAGAGTCCTGATGCTACGTTCCCCCTCATAAAGCCCAGCTTCCTGAATGATCTGTTTTGTATATAGATTGAAAAGGTATGGAGACAGGATGCATCCCTGACACATTCCTTTCCTGATTTTGAATGCAGTGTTTCTCTGCTCTGTTCTAAGGACTGCTTCTTGGTCCAGGTATAGGTTTCACATAAGCACAATCAAGCATTCTGGGATGCCCATTTTCCTCAAGGTTAACCACAGATTGTTGTGATCTACACAGTCAAATGCCTTTGTATAGTCAATGAAACACAGACATTCCTCTGGCACTCTCTGCCAAGATCCATCTGATACTGGAGACTGATCTCTAGTGCCATGACCTCTTCTAAGCCAAATTTGTATTCTTAGTAGTTCTCTGTCAATGTACCATTCCAGATGTTCTTGGATAATCTTCAGCAAGATTTTGCTAGTGGGTGATATTAGTGATATTGTTTGATAATTTCTACACTCTTTCGGGCCACCTTTTTTTTTTTTTAAATGGGAGTAAATATGAATCTTTTCTAGTCAGTTTGCCAGGTAGCTGTCCTCTAGATTTCTTGGCACAGCCTGGTAAGCATATCTAGGGTGGCATCTATTTGTTGAAATATGTCAATTGGTATTCCATCAATTCCTGGGGCTTTATTTTTTGCCAAGTCCTTCAGAGTAGCTTGAACTTCCTCCTTTATCACCATTGCCTTTTTCTCCCTAACCCAGCTGTAGTCAATCTTATTCCTGTGTAGGCCATAAGAGGAAGTCCATGTGTACAGATGCCATTTCTTTTATTTAAAAGACACTTGAAACAAATAAATCATGACTGTACAAAATTCAGTCATTCCATTTCCAGCCTCAAAAAGAGTTGATCCAACAGAATGTGGACATTACTGAATAATATCATTGTTATCATTTCCAAGTAAAACCTTGCTGAAAGTTATTGGGGGGGGGGGAACCCCTCCAAAACCACCACAAAACCTGGCACTATACATTGACAGAGAACTGCCAAAATATTTCCCCACTACCAGTTCTTCTTTGCTTCCAACTTTTGCATTCCAATCACATTATTATTACAGCATCTTGATTGTATGTTTAATAAACCCCAGACTGCAAAAGTTAGAACTCCTCCATTTCTTCATCTTCAGCTTGTTATGATGGATGGACGTTAGAAGAGAAAGAAAACTGCACTAGCACAAAAAGAAGCCAATAC